TTTTTCCTGAGTAGTTTGTACTGAATTCATGGTGGAACTAGGAAAAAATCACTGAAAGGGAAGCAGTGCTGCATGTCTTGGACAAACCCTTTTAAAGTCAGCTGRCAGGAATGGCAGATATATCAGCATCCTGCAGTAAATGATAAATGAGTTCCAGGAAACTCACTCTTTCTAATGCAATAATCCACTCTGCTGAATAATGCTGTTATTCTAAAGTGAATACAATCTTAATGTTTACGTCATATTTTATGTATGACAAACTGCTTTGCAAAGAGGCTGGACAAGAAAAAGAGCATTTTATAGTTTTATGTGCTAATAAAAAAGGAACCCATTTTGCTCTGTGAGTTAAGCARAGAAGAGATGGGCAGTATTTAGATGCAGGATATTTTCTTACTATAAAGTAGTAGCTATTATGTACCCTCCCATAATAAAATGGTCTGGCTCCATATCTTAATATTGGAGTATTCTAAAATAATTTAGACTAATTTTATCCTATTGTTTATGTTGAATGAAATAAAGCTACCAGTTGCTGAGAATTTTGCTTGGACTACAGGCTTCCCRGGGAAGTGGTCACAGCCCCAAACCTGACAAGAGTTCAAGAAGCATTTGGACAATGCTCTCAGGCACATGGTGGGATTTTTGGTGCCATCCTGTGCAGGGCCAGGAGTTGGACTCAGTGATCTTTGTGGATTCCTTCCAACTCAGGAAATTCTGTTATTCTATYGTTCTATTCAGCATAATTTCTGGTGATAAACTAAAAAAGAGAATTTGGGGTCTCTTGCATAAAACTGCAGTCCCTTCTTTTTTTCCACTTTCGCCTTGTACCTCAGCACATGCAGAAACTTTTTGTTAGCTATGTAAGCATTCTTCTATTCAAATACTAATTTAACTTAGTGATTGCATTAAGAGTGACCTGTATTCTGGCATTTCATCTTTTCCATTTAACATCRGGGACTTCTTAAAATTGATTAGCTCATAGCTCCTAAATCTTTCATAGTTTTGGCTTTTTTTTCTCTTCCCTCAGAGAGGAAGCTGCTAGTTTTAACCCTTTCCATGAATTCAGGAGAGTCTGTCACCTAGCCTTTCAATATCTGTGATATTTGATGTGTCCTAGACTGTCCTTTGGCTTTCAAAAATCATAATTCCTGTGCTTTTTTTTGTTACTGACGTGTAGGCGCTACGGCCACTGAAGCAGCCTGGCAGCAGTTTGGAGGGGAGGGAGCTGGGGAGGGGGAAGGTGCAGAGAGTGTTTTTTGCCAGCTCTGCCAGTCGCACGGGAGAGAGGACAGAGCTGGGAGCTTTACAGCCCTGCCACCGAGCAGCCAGCTGCCCACCCACTCCATGCTGTGCCACCCCAGCCAGCCTCTCCTCCAGCATCCATGGGGCAGKGTGGCTCAGTGAGCTGAGGGCACAATCCGTGGGGATGCAGCTGGACCTGGGGACAGTGCCATTCCGCTGCCAATYGGGAATGCTAATCCACAGTCAGCCTGTCCTTTTCCACGCTCCACCGATGGGGTGAGCACGTTATCCTCGGGGCTGAGCAGGTTATCCTCGGAAGGGGTCACCTACAACAGAGCAGCTGAACCTGTGGGCATCACATCTGGCCAGTTTCCTTGGAGAGGCTTGGGAAGTAGGTGTTGCTTTCCCAGGTAAGTAATCTGATCTTAAACAAAGAAGCACAGAGACGCCTGTTTTTCATTTAAAAATATGTTAAAGCAAAGTAATAAGTTGTTTTGAAGGCATAAGGTTRGAATATTCTCGTGCTCCATGGCTCCCCTGAGCTGGATCTTGGGGGTGATAATGAGGGATTTAATTCTGGGCAGCAGGTGCTGGCAGCAGGGATGCTATGCAGTGCCTGTAATCGTGTTGTCGGGTTCATTTTGCACCATCTGGGTGTGAAAGGAGCAGTCAAGCTTTTAATTGCAGTCCTTGGGCATCTGGTACCTTCCTCCTGCTGCTTGGGGTGCAGACATAGTCAAGGGAAGATGCCCTGTGTGTCTGAGGCATGTAGAGAGTTAAAGCTGGGGGGAGCAATGCCACTGCCAGTGTAGCCACCGTGCCAGAGATGGGTCCCTGGGGAGGGGAATGAGGAGATTGTTCCCACTTCCACTGTTCACTCATCACCTTTTTTTACCAGCTCAGGAGAAAAGGAAAGTTGGTGTTTCAGTTGTCTGGGCTTCCTATTCTAATTGGACGCACTTTTCTGAATGGCAAATAGTCCCAGCTGAGGAGATGTAAAGCAGATGTGGTGGGGARTGTGACCTGTTGTGTGAGCAGGAGCCGGGCTTGTGCCGTGACTGCCCTCTGGGAACAGGACAGACACCTGCTGGAGACTTGGGCAAAGCGGGAGATCTGTAAAAGGCTGATAGCTGGATCAGCTACTTGCTCTGCTTCAGTGTATGATTCAAGTGGTGGGAAAGGCAAGAAGGCAAACTCCATAGTAGCCCATGATAGCAGTGATGCCGACACAGTCCATCACTCCAGTGTGGCAGAACAATGCTTGTGATCTTCACGTGCTGCAGCAATGGGAAGGCAGYGTGAGAAAGGGAGAACAATCAGACTCCTCATTAGGGAGTATGATTTCCAGCATTTACCTGGCRTAGGTTATCCAGACTTTTCCAGCCCCACATGCTGTTGAGATATTAGCGTATCTGTCTAGTGGTGTGGCTAGATGCAATGAGCATCTGCAGTTTCTGCAAACTTGCTCAGAAATGTCGGTGTGTCAGGAAAATGTCTCCATTAAGACTGAGATTTTTGTAGTGAATATGCAAATCCGTCAGTGACAATGATGCCCCTGTGTTGTTTTGGCTTTTCTTTTTAATTTAAGAGGTAAGAAAACCAAGCGGGATCTAACTATAGATGTTTTGAGATGTCAGTGTATTGTACACAACTCCAGCCAAAGYGTTGGCAGCCAACTTAGAGGTAAGGATGGGGACAAACAAGTGATGGTACAATTCACCTGGAAGCAGTTCACAGTTCACCACAGCACAGGCAGGGGCTGGCACAGAMACACACCATCCCTCTGCCTGGAAAGCTTCCTGTTCTAAGGTGTGCCTTACACTTTGTACTGGTCACRGAGGAGAGGTGTGGGGTGTGCTTCTGGGTTATGGAAGCACAACTTTGGGATGTGATGGGAGGGTCAGGGATGTGTTGGGAACAGAGGGCCAGGATCATGAGTGGGTGGTGGGGGTTATGGAGGGAGCGTGGGTGTTCAGCTTGCTTTGGAAGCACAAATCACTGTAAATCAAATACTTGAGGAGGTAAGATTGAAACTTGTGTTGTTTCTCGCAGATCAAATTACCAAGTTTAGGCCATCTGTATTTCTTGGCGCTTTTTAAGTGGTTTGTACTACAGTGTGTACAGCACTGTGCCAGAGGAGCAGGCATGTGTTAGTGAAGGACATGAGGGGTTTTCTTCCRTCTTCTATATTTTCCATGTTTCCAGGGTGTAAAAACTGTGTCCWTCACATTGAGGGTGTGGGTGAGACCAGTCCAGTGGCACAGGGTACATAGAGCACCACTCCTCTTGTCCTATGTTAYGCTGACTTTGAGGCCCAGAAACTCTTCATCTGGCTTCTCTGAATAAATGTGCAGCTATTTTCATGTTCCTCCAAACGTGTTTGCACTTAGAAAGGAAGGGAGAGGTAAGGAAAAGCTAACCTGAATCTTTTACCTGGAAATAATATTGCCTAATGCTTGTACTTAGAAATCAAGAGTCAGTTATCTGGAGKTTTTACTGGCTTTGGTATAACCTTCTATTGATGTCAGAGAAACCAGTCACTTTTCTATGCTTTCAAGGGCCATTTTCTAAAATGTGTGTAATCTTCTTATGCATATTATTTAGCTCAAAGGGTGAATAAGAATATTTAAAAAGAATTAAAGCTTATAAAGTATTCTAAGATTTATTAATATAAGTTACCATAGGAGTGCAAATTAAATTCTGCTATTTTACWACTAAAAAATAACCTACAGTTTTAATTGTTACTGTTTTGAGATGGATTCAAAGGCATAGCATAAGGGTGAAAGACACTGTATTCCAYTGTCGATCTCCAAGATCATCTACAMCCTGTWCCTATTACTCTTCAACTGTGCAGAGTGTTTAGTTTAGTACTGGTGGCTTTTAAGGAGCAGTGYAGTGATATTTCAAGAGAGGAAGACAAGTAATTTGTAAATATACTGGATATCTTGAGGTGTTTTTCCTGCACTGAAACAATTGAATACCAAAGTGGGAAAAGCACAAATAAAGCTGAAATCTGCCTAAACYGGGCACATTCTGGATCCCACAGCTCAAACTGATCAGTGGATACATTTTCTGTAATTATGTCAGAAATTTCTTTTCAGCTCAGATGGCTCATTGGATGGGTCAGTGGAGCCCRGGCAGGCAAACGTACAGTTGGCATTATGAGTGCTAAATGTGAATTGTTTGTGGGGTCAGTGGGGCATGGTATCAGCTCTGTGGGGAGAACATAATTTCTCCATGACAACAAAGATGAGTGTTTCCCAATAGCAGGTTGTGATCTCTCCCAGTGGCGTCCTTGGGATGGTTCAGGGGAGGCTGTGCAGCATTTTATGCTTGTGAGGGAACAGTCARCTGCCTTTAATTGCTGACTGCACTCAATCCTTCCAGGGCAGAGGTTTCTACATTTATATCAGCAGCCAGTAACTATAACYTATTCTTGTTCTTTTGGCCAACAGTAGTTAACCCATCCTTGGCTAATTAAAGACTGGGATGAAAGCAGACCACACAAAGACAGGCTAGGCCAAAAGAGAGTTAAGCTCTCAGAAAGTTTAAGGATTTTTGTCCCAAGGGAAATGAGGGCACATTGAAAATATGCTACTATCCACAGCTCTCTGCCTTACAAAAGAGATCTTCAGGAGGTTCCGAGGAGTTTTTGTGATCCCCTCCCAAACCAATGYGAAGATGAACACTCTCGGGAGGAGCTGCTGTAGTGCTCTGTTTCTGAAAGCTTGCTGACAGCAGTGTTGTTTTCTGATCCATAGGTCCAGAGGATGGCATAGCAATAACATCACTGTCCAGGGAGCTGGAGTCCTCCCTCGCCGGGCTGCATGCTGCTTGAGCTGATCCCAAGCCTTTGTTTTTGGACTGAAGAAACCTGAAAACCTTTCTCTGCTAATTCATGAGCCAGCAGGATGTGGTCGCCGTGCTTTCAGAACGCCTGCTTGTAGCCGCCTACAAAGGCCAAGTGGAGAATGTGGTGCAGCTTATCAACAGGGGTGCCAAGGTAGCGGTTACCAAGGTAACGAGAGAAAAACGCTTTGCGAAAGCCCTGGGAACTAATGTAACGCTTCTAGACCATTGTCTGTGAAAATGCCCTCCTAGCTTTACCAATCTGAATGTGGCTGAGGTTAGTGTTCAGATTTCCTTAAAGTTTGCAGTAAATAGCACACGCAAATTTACAATATAGTGCAYGTCTTGTGTTTATACCCTTTGCAGTGGGCGCAGCTGTGATGAACGCTGAGTCCTTGGAAACACAGTGTCGACAGAAGGGAGCAACATTTTTCAAAGTGTGCATTGACTTTTGAACACTGTGCGACCCGATGAATGGAGCGATTCATCACTGTCAAGGGAAGGCGGTTCAGGGCACCCATCTCYGGGGTGAGGGGATGGGGAAGAGCCACCTCTTGTGGCAGGGTAAAGGGACAAAGAAAGCGTTTCTTGCTGCTGAAGCCTTTTGGTGCAGCAGCCTCACTTACACCCAACATCTTCATTGATTTGTTCTGTTTAGCCCCTTAGTTCCAAACTTGTGCAAATAGTGTTCCCCATGCCTTTGAGATKAAGTCAAAGTCAAAGGATTTCTGCTTAGATACAAGAGAGTTCAAACTGATATTCACCTATTCCTAATTCTCAACATGTTATAAATAATACTATCTTAGAAAATATGAGATGTCATTGACTGTTACAGAGAAGATTTGATTAGCAAAAAGCCTTAAAAAGAACTAGGTAAGTTAAATCTTTGAAGCTGTGGCATAAAATTTGGGGCTGTTTTGATGAACTGTTGTTCTCCATCCCATCTACTTTYATTTATGTTTCCATATTGGTTTTGAACATTGTATATGTATGGGAACTAAAATTTACAGATAGAAAACACATTTGATAAAAAGAGGAAAAGGCAGATTGCTTATCTGTTGGTGACAGTTGTTTTCAGTCCGTTCACAGTGTTTGAGTTGTAGATAATACTTATTTTGAAAGCTGTAATGAGCCAAAGACAACCTGTGTTTGTAAATTTTGTTTGCCAAAATAAGTACCCTCTTGTCGGTAGATACAAATCACAGATGCAGTAAGCATGAATACTTTCATGTTGATGCCTGTTTGGCTGTCCAAGCAGCTCTGATGAATAGCTGATGAACAGCTATTAAAGGTCATAATAGATCAGGAAATACCAACTTACAGATACCTGAATGGTAGCTCAGGATTTTGTGGTTGTGTTTTCTTTTGTTTGTTGTTTTTGGGTTTTTTTTTAAAGATGATGAACTTTGACACTGCTGAGGGACTTTTGCTAATTACATTAAGAAACAAATAGTGTAGATCTGGCTTTGAAACACAAAATCAGGMTAATTTGATATAATGTAGATTTCCTAGAGTTGACTAGTTTTTCTTTCCTRTATGACATAGATAGCTCCTTTGCTTTTTGTTCTACCCTGTGTGGAAAACCAAAACAAAGTTCATTTGGCAGCAAAACTGTGGCCAGGTGCAAAGTGTTGATGTTTCTGTTGGAGAGCTGTGTTTGCCAGCAGTGCTGGAGAGCTGTGGGCTCTGGGGCCATCCCAGAGCTCATGTAGCTCATGTAGCTCACCCAACACTACAGCATTTTAGCCATTCTTTCCTGGAAGTTGTGGGTCATCCCCGTGGAACCCAGAGAGGGAAGATGATGGAAGCTGTCCCTGTTGTCATTCTGGATGCATGCCAGCACACCAACACACAGTACAGCTGAGGTTCTGGGTAGCTTGGTGACAGCCCTGCTCAGAAGAGATGAAGTCAGATCTGCAAGACTGTGGAGGAGTCTTGCAGAGGAGCGGAGACGCTCTCAGAGCAGCAGCCAAGGCTGTGTGTACGCCGTGTTTTGRAGCGCACACACGCTTCCTCCTCCCACACTGTGAGCCAGAGAGAGCTGAGCTCAGTGTGAGCCAGGAGGGGTGAAACCAGCCTGCTGCCCTCACCAAAGCCATCAGTTCAGGCTCCATAATGTCCTGTCCAAATGTACACAGAGTGCAGTTTGTATCTGGCTCTCACCCAGCCAGCCAGCTGCATCGGGAGAGCATGTGCATATTTGCCTACGAAAGGCTGTATAAACATACCCTGGAAGAGCTTGGCTTGCTAATCTGATGACACACAAAGGCTGGAAGGAGAAAGAGCTGTTTAAAGTTAAGGACAAGGTTGTCAGAAGAGCAAGGATGTATAAATTAGATTCAAGTATATTTAAACTGGAAATTTGAAGGGATTTTTTAGCCATCACAGCAACAGGTTCTTGCGCAGTCTTCCAATAAGTAGAACAAGCATAAAATAAGAACAGCTTTCAGGGTAGGGGATCTTAATTTCAGAATGGAAATTAGATGGCAGGCTTGTTGTAGTGCAGTAAAATAGACCAAGCTTTCAGATAAATTGAAACCCAGAGCCTTTTGCTCCTCCAAGATAAAACTCATTGCACAATGAAGCATAAAAATAAATTTACCCATGCCTTAGTTCTCTTTTACCTTTGTGTCTTCTTCTTTTATTTGTAGTTTTCGGTTTGTTCTTTCTAATTATAAATTACAGGGGTTTGCTTAAAAAAAAAAAAAAAAAAAAAAAGGATTTGGTACTGAGTTCTGTGGGGTTTATTGAAGTAAGACACATGGAGACAAAGCTCTTTTGGAGGGAGAGAAAACATTCCCATATCCCAGTAGGCTTAAATGTATTTCAGATTCGCATCTGTAAGCACAGATGAATTGTTGTGAATAACACCACAGAGCCAGAGCTTAAAGTGAGATAAATGCTAGAGATAAATGCTCGAGTTCTTTATTCAAAAAGGATTAATTGAGCATAGCTCAAGAAAAATGAAGGATATTTTCTGTAACGAACCAAGTACTTGTAAATGCCTTACAGCTGAGTTGTCCAGTTCTATTTTTGTCCTGTATGGAAGGTCATATGATGTGGTTAATTGTTGCTCCAGTAAACAACAATTCAGCTGCAAAACAGTGTTTCATTTTTGTCACTTCTGAGTAGATTATTTCAGAAAAAAAAGAGGAGGAATATGAAAGAAACAATGGAGAATACACATGTCCAGGTGCTCACTTCAGCCTTACACTGGGCATGCACTTGTTTCATTTTGGCAGCATTACCAGCAAGGCATCTGTGCAAGTGAAGTCAATATGACAATGTGCACCTCCTCTGCCTCCAGTGAGGGGCACTCAAGCTCATTCCAGATTTGGGGCCTTTTAAAATATGTGAAGAAGAGCTGATGGCCACTAGGTCACAGTGCTGCTGGCAGTCTGTCATCAGGGAGCCCACAGTGGGGCAGGGCTGGTGGCACTGTGTGGCACATGCAGTGAGCACTTGTCATGGTGCTGGACCTCCACAGGGGGTTGTGGCCCAGGGCAGRTATGGTGCTTAGCAGAGGTTTGATGGTTCTACTCTTCTCAAAGGGCACCCACTCAGGGTGCWCTGTTGCTGCTCTGCCTGATAGGACAGCGATAATTTCTGTTTTTATGCCCTTTTTGTGTGACATTCTTCACATCTGTGAAATGTATAGCCAGCTCCTTTATGAAAAAATACCCTGAACAACCGGTCATATATACTGGCTGATCCAACAAGCAGGTGCCCTTATCAAGTATTTTGGTGAATAAGCTGCAAAAATTAAAAACTAAGAACTTTAGCCTTTTCTTTCAATCAAGAAAGCTGGTCCCTTCTTTCAGTCCTGCTGTAAYAGAGCTCTCTTTCAGTGACATTATTGACAGCTGCATCTTTGTCACAAAAGCACTGTGACTTGCTGTGCTGATGTGCCTTGCTGTTGTCGCAGGATGTTGTTGTTCTTTTCCTGGGGTATTGGATTTGTGTGGCCAGGTTTTGGTATCAGGAAGGGCTACAGGTGTGGCTTCTGTGAGAAGCTGTCAAAAGCTTACCCATGTCTGGCAGAGCCACTACCGGGTGGCTCTAAGATGGATGTGCCACTGGTCAAGGCTGGGCCAGTCAGAAATGGCAGTAGCACCCCTGTGTTAACATATTTAAGAAGGGAAAAAGAAGCAGCTATATAGAAGATGTAATTACAGCCAGGGAACAGCAGAGTGAGAACATGTGAGAGGAACAGCCCTGCAGATACCAAGTTCAGTGGAGAAGGAGGGGCAGGAGGTGCTCGAAGCTGGAGCTGAGATTCCCCTGCATCCCGTGGTGCAGACCATGGTGAAGCAGCTGTGCCCCTGCAGCCCATGGAAATCCATGGGAATGCAGAGGTCCACTGCAGCTTGTGGAGGGACGCCCACACCAGAGCAGGTGGATCCTGGAGAGAACTGTGAATCCACAAGAAACTTGTACTGGAGCAGGCTCCTGCATTAAGAACATAGAATATAAAATTGAATTCTGCAGAGAATGATGTTAATACAGAAAGAAAAAAAAAAAAAGCAAAGGAATGCAAAAGGTAGTGCTTCTGTTTTGATTCAGTAGTTGTTTGATTTAACTTCTACGCTGGTCATGTTATGAACACACTATATGGCAACACTATTGTAATGCTGGAGTACTTTAAGTTTCAACTTCAGAGCATGTTGAGTTCTTTAGAGTTCTTTTTTTCTTGTTTAAACTAAGACGGAAAAAAATGTCTTGGTGCTTTCATATTTTTGCACTCCTTCAGTTTGAAAAGCTATTTGTGTCTGTTTTAAACAATAAATAAAGATAAATTAAAAGGGACTAACAAACATTTAGGAACTTGCTGAATGCCTRTTGAGGTCAATGAGAAGCTTTCTGCTGACTTGAGCGAGCAGGTTATTCATGGAGAACAGTCTAACAAATCATCAGTGTGAACAATGTGACAGGACTTGGATTTTGCTTTCAGGCTTTCCCAGAAAATGTGGACAGGCATGTTTTTATGAGTACAAAATGGAYGGATAAATAACAGTCCTTGTGCATCACAAGAGCAAGGTGAGATGGAGAACTGAATGTACCTGCATAGAAGTACCTACACGTACATAAACAGAAGGGAAAATTGTGCAGCTTGTGGTGCTAAGGCCCCCCTGTGTGGATTTGGTTGTGGAGTGCATATACACTGGCAGCAATGCTAAGAGGATTCTGCTTTTAAATGGTGTGTATCGACAGCTGCCTGTCAATGTCTGGGATTTAGGGCACAGATTTAATGGAAAGAAAAACCTACCCTCGCATTTTACTGCTGAAGTTCATGTGACTTACTGTGCTTGGCTGCAACCCGATACACCCCACAGCTACAGCAGCGAGTCACGGTGGTTGGAAGTTGCAGCCTTAGCCCAGTGGGTCCCATTTATTTTGTCAATAAGTCCGTGACATAGGACCATTTGTATGATTTGTTGCCTGATGAAGCAATTGTTTACATTTGAATAGAAGTCCAAATTGCTTTTTTTTTTTTTTTTTTAACATGTGAATGACTGCTTTATTGGTTCATTAATCCCAACTTGTAGCAGTCTCTCATTTGTATTTGTAATAACCCCCAAATCATTACAGTTCATATCTGGCAATGCTCACTAGCTTTTAAGTCAGTAATCTGCATGTTGAGCAGTCCCTGGGTTTGGTGGTGTCTCTTTGCAGTGAGCATCTAGGAGACACTCTCATTTGTATGTTTTTTTCCCCCATGTGTGTTTTCAGATAAACCCCTTCTTTGCTGCTGCATTGAGTGCAGAATGTCTTTATGAAGGAGACACACAGAGGGRATTTTGTCTGTCTGCCTTCATCTCTGCCCCCTATATATTTTGGGAAGGGTGAATTGYTGTGAGAGAAAAACTTTGTGGGCTGTTGTTTGAGTTAAAGGCATGAAGGCAAGAGCAGCCCTGACTGTTGCTGCTGTGACACGGAGTTGTCATCAAAACACAAGGGGCACCCAAATTGTCTTGGCATTGCTGGTTCTTGCAGGGTTGTGATTAATCTTGAGAAGATCAGTGCTCTTGCAAAAGCCTGAGCCTCTAATCAATGTATTATGCTGGAATTGATCCTCCTTCCCGGTCTCCTCCCCTGGTTATCAGTGTCATAGCTTTTGTATGTAGTGTCCCTTTGAAGTAGGAAGAACTCAAGGACTGCATGTATGCAGCAGCTCTGGTTCCTGAAGGCCTCTCTCTAGGGTTCTCCAGTAGCTGAGATCCCTCTGAACCTAATGTTGCTGGATAAAGAATATGAAACACACAAAAGCTCTGGAATAAAAGTAATCCTTTTAGTCTTTCAAAACTGTGCCAGCAGGCGCAGTCTATGTGGCAATTGCCCAGGAAGGTGTGTTGGGTGAGGGAAGTATGTCCCTTGTATTCAAACAAACTCTTATTCTGCTTTCATAGCTTACTTTTAACACAGTACCTTTGACTGCATGTCAGCATTTTTTCAGTGGTTAGAGCTGGTTATTTTACCAGAAAGTTTCGCTGCTGGAATATATATTCATGTTGTTGACACTTTCCTTTTAAAGCACATGAGCAGGCTTCAAGTTGGGTTTGTTTGGGATTTTTCCTGCTCCATGCACAGATTGCTATAAATCATTTTTATGGTGTATTAATAAYCTGCCGGGAAGTGAGATAAATGCCTGGATTAGGTGATTTACTTATTGGCATTAAGAAATGTAGAAACTCAGAACCTGTGAATCTGAATGTRCTGGAGCACATATTCATAATCCAAACATACTGTTCATGATCAGGAATGATTTGTCAGTTTGTTGGGTTTTTTTAAAAATTCTCTTTCTTCTTATTTTTTTCCTTCTCTATTTTCTTTTTTCCCCTGTATTACCTGGGGATTTTATGCCTCCTGCTGTTGAGTTAGCTGGAACAGCAACACCGCCCTGGCTCTCCTCCAGGCTGATGGAGAAGGAAGTGTGGTCAGTGCAGCTCAGTGTCCTTCAGTATAGGGAAGGGTTTTAGGGACCTACAGCCAGATCAAGCCAGAGGCACCCAGGCTGGAGGCTGGATGGTGTCCAGGGGTAGTGGTGACATCAAAAACAAGCCCTTCCCATGCCTTTAGCAGGGCAGGAATGAAAGTTTCTCACATGGGAACCAGCTGCTACTGCCAGCAGGGGACAACCTGTGGATTTTGAGAGAYCCGTGTGTCATAGAGTGGGTAGGGACTTTGTAGTCAGAACTGTGCCTTCATATCAGTAATGTAGGACAATTAATGAACACTTAACATTTCTGAAGCACAGCACAACTAATCAGTAATGACACAGACATTTTGCCCTCAGTCGTTCTGTTGATTTCAACAGTGTTTTTGCTTTTTGCCCTGAAGAAGCCAAGTTAACAAGRCTTTCCCAGCTATGTGGGTATGGAATTTGCTAGATGAAAACAATCTTGTCTTGAGCATGATTTATTCTTTATTTGAAGTAGTTTTCTTACTGAAGAAGTTGCTTAAAATCTCAGCTTATGGTTGCCTTCTGCGTACTTCAARCCAGTAGTTAAACAGCTCTTGAAGTGTTTGCTCCTTCTGTGTTTGATATATTAGGGCTGTTTGTCTTCCTTTGCAGGGTAAATCATTGGGTGGAGAAATAGATAATAGCACCAGTAATGAAGGAAAAGGTGAAGAGTAATGTGACTTTACAGGTGAAGAGTAATGTGACTTACAAGTGACCCTCACAAAATGCCTAGTGAAGAAGACAGCATTCTTCGTGAAGATACCTTGTGAATTTAGCAATTGCTAAATTGTTGCCTTTATTGCCATTAACTAATCTCGGCTGAACAGTTTCAGAGTGTTGCTGTTTCACAGATCTTAAAGTGTTTCACTTTGAGATTTTAGAGAGAGAGGTTAAAATAAGTGTTGTCTTAAAAAAAAAAAAAAAAAAAAAAAAAAAAAAACAAAAAAAACCAAAAAAACCAGGCACATCTTCAGCAAAATGAAGTTGGTTGTCAGACGTGGAAGTCACTTGGAGTGATTACAGGTCTTCCATCCCTTTTCAGGGGAGCATCTGTCATGTGCCACAGTTCAGTAATTCTTATTTCTATTACAATRTATGAATTAGCCAGCTATTTCAACTTGGCTGTACAGAGGGAAGGTGACAGTAATTGACAGTTCTGTCCTCCAGAGGGACAGAAACAAAAAGGTCGTGACTTCTGYTTAGGCATGGACACAGAGTCGGATCCAACTTTGTGAGGAAATTCTCTTATGTGACTATAATATCCCTTTTGTAGAGTGTCATTGGGATTACCTGAAATGTTGCAAAAAGTGGAGGAGGAGTTTTCACCTTTCACAAAGGTAATGCCTTTCAGAGCATTACAGAGGAATGATGAAAAGCAGATCAAATTCTATTCAACTACTATGTATAAAAGTTTATCTTAAGTTATTATTTTCTTCTCATTTATAGCATGGCCGGACCCCCCTGCATCTTGCTGCCCACAAGGGTCATCTCCACGTTGTCCAGGTTTTGTTGAAGGCAGGTTGTGATCTGGATATTCAGGATGATGTAAGTAGAGACAACCTTTTTACTTGGGGTGGAGGGGAAAAGGTGATTTGCAAATAACCATAGACCTTCACTTCTTTGAAGTAGGATAAAATAAAAACAAAATCTGTCTGTTTTCCAGTTCAGAGATGTAGCCTCTAATTTGGAAATGCAAAAGTGCGTGGGTAACAATGTAAAATGTGGTGGTTTTCAGTGAAAAGCTTGGTCCTCTTGCTCAAACTGGAGAGCTTTATAAGATCTGTGCTTGTGCCTGGCAGGTGTGAGAGTTGTCACCTGCTGCTTCTTGTACAAATGCACTAGGAGTTCATTGTGGGAACCTGCTGGAGGATGTCAGGTAGGGGACACAACCCAGTGTCATGTTTGCCTGAAGTGGGAGATGCTTTTTGAGTAGAGATCCCTCAGCATCCAGAGCAGCTGCCTTTAGAACAGTGCCTTGCCATGGGGAGATCATCCCCATGGCACCATGTTTCATGTGGGGTTGTCACATCTCTCAGGTTATTGTGTGGTGAGGCATCAGCACCAGCTTTGAATTTAGCAAATGGTAGTTTGTTTTCATTTGGTAAAATAAGTAAGTTACTGGAATTTCTCGGCTTTCTGTAAGAGTAGTTCAAATCTTGGACTGGGCTTTAAGGCACTTTGGAGTGACACAGTTTTAGTTCCCTCATGCTGGTAAAAAAAGGTGTGGGCTGAAATGTGCAACATGGTCGAATAACCATGTTTTCTTCAAATTTATTACTAACTTGTGATGGCACTCTGGAAGAAGTTTGAGGAAGGGTTGCTTTTGTTAAATGTGTATAGCAGTTGGAAAACTGGTTTCTTTCTCTGCATGTGTAGCTGATTCCCTGTGAGACGTGAGCAGTCTGCCTGACAAGCTTGGGGCTGGGGTGCTGATGTGGCCAACTTTCTACAGGGAAACTTGTTTTTCCAGGAAGAAAATTTGCTTCCTGCACTCTTTAGTCTTTCCCTATGCCCATCTGTGAAATGGAGCAGATTTGCAAGTGCAGTGGGAGAATCAGTTTATTCAGATGTACCCTGGCTATGCTTTTTGACTTCTCCCAGCAGAAATGATTCATTAGGTATTTAAGACAAAATTGCAGATACTTTACAAATACAGTCAGTTTTCCTGAGAAAAGTGCTGCTTTAAGAAAGCAAGAGCTTCCACTGACTTGGTCAGATTTGGTGTCTGTGGAAGCTGATTTTTGAGTAAGTCTGATTTATTTGTTTTAATCCTCTAGGAGTAAAGTCTAGGCTGTTTATATGCAAACATGATAGCCATAATGGAAAAACAGTAAATCAGTGTTTAGCATCATTTCAGTTCAGTGAAGAACTGTGCCCTTGTAGAACTACTCAGCTCATAGAAGACCTATTGTCTTGTGAGCTTCTCAGGGGCTTTGTTCCAGACATTTGGATACTGCTTCTAAATGTGGTGGTTAACATGAAGAGAATAGATGCATGCTGGATTCATAGATACTGTTTCTTTAAAATGTATTTTGATTTGGAGCTCTGTATTTAGTAGTAGTAATTTGGCTGGGATTGAGGAGAGTCTCAGGAGTTGCTGAATCTCGATGGGTGTATTTGGATTTGTCTCAGAGGAGGAGGAAGTCTAAAACTCCAAATGAAGGTTTGTGCTTGCGATAGGTAGTCACTAAAGTATTTCTGCTTTCCTTTTACTTAGGTCTTCAAAGAAGGTTCTCTGTTTATGGCTTCTCCTTGTGTAATTAATTTTTACAGTTTATGCCCCACAGAATATGTTTGTAGTCTCTTTTTTTGCAGTCTGTTGATTATGCCTTCTATCACTTTTACTGTATGCTTATATGGCAGTGAAGGCATCTTAGTCTCAAGTGTTGATTAACATCTGTATGTTTCATTACTGTTTTTCAGGAACACAGATTTAGGTTGAGATACGAAAATGCTTGTGAGAGTGCGGAGTATTATATTTAATTGAAAAGCAAATTATTTTGCTGAATCTGGTTTATGGCATTGTTGTGATAACACACAAAAAATGAAAAAGATGACCTACATTTTATTTTTCTAAATTACAAGAGAAACTTAAACATTTTATTTTGGGGTTTTGATCAAATTTAAGACTAAGTTTTAATTTGCTAGATGATAAGCAGAAACTTAAGAGCTGCTGAATGTTGTGGACAGATTAAAATGCTCCCTTCGTGTTCTACAGATATATTCTCTAAAACAGTAAGAACCGTAAGAATTAGTTGAAGAATGACCTCCAGTGGCCTGGAGTGGGATTATTACGAATTTCAGCCGGTGGAGTCCAGCTCTGTAGAGTACGCCACTCCGAGAGCTGACTCTTTCCTTCTCCCTGCCAATACTGACAACTCTTACTGGGATCCCAATGCCATCTCTGAATGGTCAATGAGTGTCCATACAGCACACACCTCAGAAATAGTCCAGGAGAAAGTTGTCCCGGTGAAGGAAATCAAGGATGAAAAAAATAAGAGAAACCAGAAGAGAAAGGCTAGGAAGGAACCTAGAAGAACAGAAAGAGAGAAGGAGGTTAGAACTCTCGTGCATCAGCCCTGCCCCGTGCCTGTTGCCTGTCCCGGTGCATGCTGCGAGTCCCCGGCACGGCGCTCCGGCATGGCCGAGCTCCCTGCGCTGCATGGCTGCATGGCCCGCTTGGCGCTCCGTGCTCTGCATCCACTTTCCTGCCCTGTCTGCACCCTTGGAAATCTAACTGGGAAAACTAGTTGATGTAAAACAAAAGGCCAGAGGCTCTGAAACTTTCCTTCTGGAAGCTCCAGTTTAGGCAGCGGAAAATTAGTTTCAAATGGAACAATAGCCCAGGGTTCATAATTATTTCTAGTGAATGAAAACGTGCAAAGTGGCTTATTCCTATGGTCCCATTTCATTTAAGCTGTAATTTGTTTTGTTCATGATTATTTTTCATGCCTTGATCACTCCTGGTGATCATTCATCATCGTTTATAGTGCAGAGTGAAGTTGTTGTTAACTGTGTATCGTGACTGCTTCTCTGTAGCAAGAGGAAGAGAGCAGCACAGAAATACAGAGAAACATGAGAGCATATTCAGTTTCTTTGTGTACAGCTGCCTCAGAATATCCATATAGGCTTGTCTGCTCCTGCAAGTACATAACACTTGTTTTTATTTTGACTTTAGAATATTTTGATGCTTCTGCTGTGAATTCAGTGGCTTAATTTTATATTCATGACTTTACAAGTGCCATTGAGCACTTCGTGTCAGGGATTGAAGCTGTGAGCTTTTGCTGGTTATTTTGGTTGTTTATTTTTTGGTTGGCCAAGTTGTGGATCCTTCATCC